TTTGACCACTTAGCGAAAAATGATCAAAGGGCTCTACTTACTGATCTTAATTTTGCATTTACTGTCAGAGTTAAAAAAAACCTAGGAAATATACGTAGCAGTTTTACTAGATTTCGTTGCGATATACTCCGCGTAAATACATAATATCCGCGGCCTATAGGTATTGAAGAAGGGCCGTATTTACTAAAATTTTACGCGGAGTGTCTTTTTAAAATTCACGTTGGAACTTATTTAAGGACATCAATGCGAGCGAAGCCACAGGTAAAAGCTAGTAAATAATAAATAATGAAATCATTAATAATGAAAAATGTACCTTCCCAGTTTTAGATAATTATGGAGTATAGGCAACTCCGACAGTAATGCAAATTTCTCATCATGATATCCTGCAGTTTACACGTATTTTAATCAAGTCACATGGAAATGCACGCCATTCTTCTGAAGGTATACTTTTCATACCCTCGAAGATTCAAAGAGGCACTTCATCCTCCAGTTCGAGAGCATAATGCATTCCACACATGTTCAATTGAACTCATGTCTGGTGAGTAAGCTGGCCCATCCATTCGAGTGATACCTTCTGCTTCTGTGTATTATATTATCAGAGAACTCGTTGCGAACGAGTATTCGCATCCATTAACAAAATATATAGGCAAACTGCGCCTTTAAAGAACATTAACATCGCGTGCGAAATCTTCGTCAATATACCTGTGACTGTTTCATCGAATCTACACCAAAGCCCTGCAGCTCGGAGAAATCGTTTCTGAGTATACTACTTTAAACTATAAACCGATTCTATAGAAACATCAAAGTGAAAAGTTTTATTAAGAAGGTACGGCAAGATACATATTCGCTCTCTCTCCAGATCTGCTCAATGTTATTTGCTTCATTAAAATTTGTCGAAAAATAAGAAAGCTATGTCTGCTGTCTTGAAATAATAGTTTTGATAAAAAATAATAGTGATTCAATAGCTGTCGTGAAAGACTTGCGGCTCTACTTAGGTCCCCGAAAACGAAACTCTACCGAGCACGTAAGATAAGTTCCAAAGATGCAACAAGAATCATTCCAAGAGTTATAAGGTTGCAAAAAGAGAACCGTTATTCGGTATACCTATGAATTTGTCGTTAGAACCGGAAATTAAGTAACTTCTAGTATGATCTTTTTCCCACTTAAATAAAAGCTAAAATGTTTATTCTAAATTTAAGTATATAGTTTTTTAATTACAAAATGGGTATTAAATTGATTATGCTAGGTCAACTTGTAAAGTCTAAAGTTATTTTGATTCTACGCTTAAAAGCAAACGTTTACATAATTAGCAAACGTTTACATAGTGTACAGCTGTAGGAAAAACTTAATTTTTCAAAAACTGGTTTAGAAATTTTGCTCCCCACTTATCGTTACATTTCATGCAACTATAAATTCGACTAAAAGGAGATAAAGAGCAGATGTGTTAGGGAATTCGAAACCGTTTTCTTGATTTCTGATACCGCCAGTCCCAATATCTCCGTATCTTGCAGACGCTGTTGAAGAAGAGAGGGTAAACGGGAAAATATGTTCCTCTCCGCCGTCAATGAAGATCTAAAAACGAGCCAAGAATGTCTACTTTAGCCAACTTGTAAAGTCTAAAGTTATTTTGATTCTACGCTTAAAAGCAAACGTTTACATAATTAGCAAACGTTTACATAATGTACAGCTGTAGGAAAAACTTAATTTTTCAAAAACTGCACTGTAAAAAAAAATCTGTAAGGTTATTAAGAAAACTCATGGAAACTGGGATGCCATGGGTTATTTGGGTAACAGAAACAGGTGTTTTCTTTGTAACATTACAAGAGTTTTGCCTGTAATTGTTACAGATCGTTTTCTTGTAATCTCACAGCATATAGTTATGTAAGTAGAACATATTTTTCTCATGTAAATTCCCAAACGATATATCTGTAATGGTTACAGATTATTTGCGTGTAATATTACAGCAAATAATTATGTAAAAAGAACATGTTTTTCTCATGTAAAATCCCAAAGGATGTATCTGTAATGGTTACAGATTATTTGCGTGTAATATTACAGCAAATAATTATGTAAAAAGAACATGTTTTTCTCATGTAAAATCTCAACAGATATATCTGTAACCGTTACAGGTATATTGCTTGTATTATTATAGCAAGTTATTATGTGAGTAGAAGATACTTTTCTTACGTAAAATTCCAATGGTTTGCATCTGTAAAGGTTTCAGATTATTTCCTTCTAATATCCCACTAAGTAATTATGTGTGTAGAATATATTTTTCATAGATAATAATACTAAAGGATATGTCTATAAAAGTAATAGATGTTTTGTCTAAAATGATGCTTATTTATAATATATATTGAAATCAAGATGTTTGAGTAAAACAATATCTGCATGTGTATATCATTATACAGATATATGCAAGTGAAGCATAATAGTTTGGCTTTTTAAATTAGTCAATTTGACCTCAGAATAGCATTAATTTAAAAGATGCGCTTTCAACAGCAATATGCACTCACACGGACTTCAATTTTTATTATTCCACTCCATATCCTCAACACTATTACGACCATACACAATAGTTATTTAGGCCACATATTATCTCAGCACATGATCCTTTCACTATATTGCGTTCTCCCCATTTTAGTCTCTGATTATTATTCTAATTATTATTTTATCCTAGTATATTATTCCTAGTTCTGTCTTTAAAGTCAAATCCTCAATAAGTTACAACTTTAGCTAAGCCCCTTTCCCCATCCAATGCCTGACAAGCAAGTTTGTGCACTTTCTTTACAGATCAATCATTGGCGCACGTGACCAGTAGCTCCTCCCTACACCTCCTCGACCATCTCTATGCCATTTCATCTTCATTTGAGCGCTGGCCAACGTAGAAGTAGCATCACTTAGGTCTTACTCGCAGCTCCTGCCATGAACACGAGTAACTCTCCGTGCTGTTTATGCGAACGGCTCATCCATTGATTATCACGTCCACTGCTTATCACGAGGAACCTTCCTCTCCTAAGTAATATGTCAGTAAAAGATGTCAGTAAAAGATGTCAGTAAAAGATATGCCACCTTACACGTGATAGACACAGGATGCGGCTTTCCAGCCGAGGCGCCTGAAGAAGTGCCCAGCACCTGAGCCTTCAAGTACTCGAACCAACATCCGGTCAATTTGTTTCTTGCTATCATTTTCTATGAGAACAATATCATTCGCTTTAATTATTCTTCTTTTACCCTTTGCAATGTTTCGGAGAAAGCCTAGATAGTCCTTCTTAAAAAGATTTCTAAGTCCTTCTTTAACTCGTTGTAAATATTTCCATCTTTCTATAATGCTCATAGAATTAATTTCATCTAAATCATACACATTACTGCCAATTAAGTTTTGTAGGAACATAGAAGGTTTTAACGACGACAAATCATCACCTTCCTCCGACAGGTAAGTCAAAGGTCTGTTGCTCATTAGGCTTTCACATTCGCACAGGAGGGTTAGAAATTCTTCATATCCTAAACAAGCGTGTCTCAAATTTTTTCGGAGGAGATCCTTTAAAATTCTTATTAACCTCTCCCAAAATCCTCCTTCCCCCATGACGCTGTGGGAGGATTGAATTTCCATTTTATTTTCATTAATGCACACTTCCTTTCGATATCAGCCCAATCCAATTGATTCATAGCTTTATTTAAACCTACGAAATTCGAACCATTGTCCGAGTATATGACTGCAACTCGACCTCTTCGTGAAATAAAACGTCTAAATGCATCTATAAAGACGTTTGTGCTCAAAGAATTAATTAATTTAAGATGAACAGCTCTAAAAACGGCACAGGTGAAAATTACTATCCAAGCTTTTAAATTTCCCTTTCAAGAAAACTGGGGAGGCGAGATCGATTCCTGTCACTTGAAAAGTTTTCACCATTTTTGTCCTGCCTTCAGGTAAAGGAAGAAGAGGTATTTCTAGGGCCTTAACAGCATATCTCTGGCATATGACACAACCTTTTTACCACAGAAGTTACAGTTTTTCTACCTTTGATAATCCAAACACTTTCTCTCAAAATCACATTCTGTTTTCAATCTCCTATTGCTTAATACCCGAACATTCAGCTTAAAAGACCGTTAGTACTTCCCGACGCCTAAGTCTTTATCTATATTCTCTGTTATGACTATTCAGAAAAATTAAACTACATTACACCGGTAATTTGCTTTATTTCTGTTATGCATTACCGTTCTCTTTCGGAATTTAGGTTTTTTGCAATTTTGTTTTATAATTTAACATGATTTATTGCTAGGAGCGCTCAAAAGGTTTTCCTCAATAAATCGGTGTTAGGTTTTCGTCATACTTAATTTTATAAAGGTTTCAGTGCAACATTATAAGCTAGTATACACGAGTTTACTTGCATTTTGCATTTCAGCCAAGTAAATTCATACATATTAGTTTCCAAAGAACTTGGGAAATCCATCTTTTCTAGAGATCTCAAAATGCATTTTAGATTATCATAATTCCTAAAGATCCATCCCTCCTTTCTATAGGAATGTAACTTGATAAATATGATCAAACCGTATATGTTGGCTTAATATGTATAATGATATTGTAATGTGCATATTAACTTAATGTGTAACGCTGATGTAGGCCAAAAATGCTTAAAACAGTTTTTTGTGTATTCATTTCTGATATTTCATAAAAATGGGTCTCACTAAAAATGTAACATTGACAAAATTCAGAAACTTAACATAGTAATCTAAACAAACCAAATAAAAACAAGAATACAATCAAACACAACAATCATACAAGGAGTGATATTCGGCTCTTAAGCGATTTTCGACATGTAATTGGTATAGTGTATATCTCTGCTGGAAACTGATAAAAGAAAAGAGGTTTAAAGAAAGTTGAGCTTTTGATAAGAATTCAATGCGTTCAAGATTATCGAAATCTTAAACATATATAGATATACGTTTCGTAAAAAGCAGAAGTACAGCAGAATCTGAAGAAGCTATTTAAGCAATAAACCTTTTCTGCATTTTGCACTTGCAAGATAAACTAGAAGATACTCACAATGCCACCAATTAGTTTTAAACTACTTTTGATTCACCATTTTCTGTTTTATTGAGATCAGTGCTCGGCATATTGATCAAATACCAGAATCTTCGGCTGCAATAAAGAAAGAAGAAAATAATGTGCCACGTTCTTATCCTTCAGAAAAGTTACATATAATAATAAACTCAACTGAAATGGAACAAAATGCAGGTAGGCATATGTGCTTTATATTCTTTTATCCTGTTAACCTACATACGCCAATATATAAATTTATACCAAATATTTACAAATAGTTGCATAATTATTAACTATTACTAACTAACTAACTAGCATACTACTATTTGCATTATTACATACGGTAGTAGTGTGTAATATACATGTAGTAGTGTATAATATACAAATGCAAAATTCTTCTCTACAAAAATTTACTCTATTCAAAATTGTAATAATTGCTTGATATTTCATTCGCTGATTTTCAAACTTTATCATATGGGGTATAAAAATTACGTGATGAGATATTATTAATAATTTTGTGTAAATACTTATGGAAGCTTGCTATAATTACTTGAAGAAGAATTGATCAATTAGTGATAAGCAAACTCTTTAAAAATACGTATTTTGATGTACTGCGAGAATATAAAGGTGAGTAAATCTATCCAATAAAGTAATTAAAACCCTTTCCTCAGTTATTTCTGAATGACGAAGTGGGACGCAGATGTTCATCACAATACAAACATTTAAATAGTCAATTCAATAAAATTTCCTTTTAGAAATATCATTTAAAATAGACCACTTCTAAGACCCTTACATAGAATTTCAAGGACAAATAGAAGTGAAAATATTGAACGTTTCTACTCAAAATCCAAAAACAAAACTCTTGTAATTAAATAAATATAAATAAATATTCATTATCGGTCCCCTGCTTTTTTGAAGGATATTACTAAGAATATTGTGATTGCTTGAAAATTGTTTTTGACCGTTTAACGCATTAAACTAGACTAACGTTTTAGATATTTTATTACTTAAGCATGAATGAGGTAACAAAAAAAAATAATAATTCAGTTCAATATTAGAAATGGAACGGGGTGCAGAATTCATATTTGTTTTCCGCCTAGATTCTAAGAAACAAGGTAACATACGATTTATATGCGTTTACCAATTCTTCTTTAACTGATTGTTAAATTATTATTTATAAATTACACTTAGCCAAACAATAGTTAAAATTAACAAATAAAATCTAAAGGAATTAAATTTTGGATAGAAATAAACAGTGAAGTTACTGCTTCGTTTTATGATTTATGCAACTATTTATAAGAGAATGCGATGTAGGTAGGGATATATGATTTATATACAAACTGGAAACTAGTAGTTTGATAAAATTTAGCAAAGCATTACAAACATACATACTCTGATTAAATGTATATAATTACACACACACACACATATATATATGCCCCCCCCACATATAGTATGTGTGTGCATATATTTATAATCAAGAGATCACAAGTACCTCAGAATAGGGAGTTATTATCGCTTGATTACTTGCTTATAACTTCATAGCATCCTATGTGATTTTGATAATCTACCATCTTAATTTCAATTTTGTTTTTAAATTTTGCTTAGAGAGAGAGAGATAAAAAGAAATAACAGTTATCTTTAAAACCAAATTAAATTTTCGATTTAGTCGTTTAAATAACATAACCAATACGCAAAATGGCAGCAATAATTAGAAGTACATTATTTAATTTTAATACATTATAATTTCCTACTTTCCAGATACAATAAATGATTGTAAAAAACAAGTGAATTAGAAAAAGATATTTTAATAATTAATTTGCACATCTAATCATTTAAAAGAAATGCGAAACAGTTACAGAAATATCATAATTGTAAGACGATAAAAACAACATTATTAAGATAAAAATTTTCCTTACTTTTGGCCAGTATTTACCACTTGAAATCCAGTTTTAATATATTTGTAATATTACAATAAATGTTTACTTTAATTTAAAAAGAATTTCAAAATCTAAATTAAAATTAATTTTTTCTTCAAAATAACTTTATTCGTACTTTTTTTCAAAAACTTTTTAATTTTTACATCCTTAATATTTTACATTCCTTAATAGTTTGCAACATTTTTTCACATAACGGTACAGTTTGCATTTTACAGTTTTTTTTTACAACAGAACACACATTTTACATTACTTAAAAGTTTACAAATAATAGTTTTTTTTTTTTAATTGATCACAGATAGCAGCTTTACACTCAAGTTAACCTTACATTAGCGCCCTCTGTTTAAAGTTTGCAGAACACACTACTCACATCACTTAGTTTGGCAATGCTTCTCCACTCACCAAAAACAAACTGGTTGGTTAGTTAAATTGAAACTTACTATTTACTTGCCTTTTTAGTATTATTTAAGTATAATTTACGTATGTGGGCAAGAGTTTCTAAACTACTCTTTGATTTTTTAAAAATTTGGTTTACTCTTATTTCTTAACTTTTTTTAATTTTTAAATTTTAATTCCTGTCTTTTAATTGCTAATTTCTCAAAATTCCACTTGTCTAAACTTCTTTTTAGTAATTCACCACATTTGGTATTACTTTTGGTTTTGACTTTTACCATCGTCTACATAGATGACGAAAGACGAATTGAATGTATCATTGATAAATTTGTCTCTTGCCTGCTCAACAATCATTCACTTATGAATTTTTCTAAATAATGTTTTTAGGATTAAATAATTTTTGGAATTTTATATTTATTAATGGATTTTGATACTTGCACTTGATTTGCATATGCTCTCAGAATTTAAATGATATTGTAGATTACAATCAACAATAATTAATCATTTATTTGCCTGCATGAAATTTCATTTAAATTAACTTTAAATTTACTTTTTACGAATAGAGAATGTTTGTTGAATTCAAATTTCATTCCTTGCAGCAATAGCGCAAAAGAATTATTTAAAATTAAATTTAACTTCACTTTATTCTTTTGAAGCAAATATATATATATATGAATGAAATTTATTCCATATATCACTATTAGTGATACAAATAAACAACCAAATTTACAAGATAGAAAACAAAAAGAATGTCGAAAATCAGCACTTTGTGTGTCCGCCACGCTGCGCGAGGGGATGTTGTACACGTCATCGCATTGAATTATATAGGTTCCAAATGTAATCCTGGGTACACTCACTCTCTAAAGGTAAATATTTGCAGTGCTTTAAAGACACTTTGAATACCGTGAAGCAATTTTTACTTGAAGTTGAAAACCCCATGGTAACGCATTTATTAATAAGAATCGAAAGACATACATTTCACCTAACTGAAGCATATTCATTTTTCAACCCCTCAGAAAACTTACTGTAAATGATGTTAGTATCATTTAAGCATTTAAGTTGCATCGATTATCTTTGGTTTTTATTCTAAAATTTACGTCTTTATATCGATACTGAATCGAAAGGTGTTTTGTTACTTTAGGTGTTAACTTAGGTGTTAACTTACTGCAGTTCTCCGTTGTTATACTGCGTAATTATTATACTTCCTTCAAAAGATAAATTCATGCAAAATTTAAAAGATGATAGTATATTAATATTCACTTCCAAAACTTTGAATATATTTGCCATCGTAGTTCATATAACCATTGTACTGCGATATATTTGACCTTGATATCATGATACACGAACAGCTGATTGCATTAAAGGAAGGTGTTCAAGTAAAAGAAGTCTTACTCAAAACGTTTCGGTACGTTACGTTTTGTAATTTAAAAGTTATGCTGGACAAATATTATAAAATTTAACTTGTTTCTGAACTAACATTATTCACTTTTATCTTATTCTACGTAATGGAAGCAAGCTTTATCAAGTCAATAATTTACAGCGAGGAAACAAGAATTGTAATAACCATTTCTGAACTAGCTGATTTAGGAATTACAAATAGTAAATGCAAACAAGACAACATAAAGTGTTAAATGTATTAAATGATTTATATAATATAAAAAATATATATTATGAAACATTCATCGGTCTCAAGCACAACTATTACATTAATTAATTTCAAACTTTGTGTTGCTATAATATATGATTTTGTGGCTGAAATTTTGTCTACATTTATAAACTAGAAACCATGATAGAATATATATCATAAAATATAAAATACCTAAACCATTTCTCCAACACTTTTTTTTTCATATTCTTAGTGTAATTATTATCTTTAAAATATTTATGTGCAATTATTTGTATTATAATTATACATGATGATTATATCAAAGAGAAAGTTATAAGGGAATCGTTGAAAAAAACCATTCTTTTAACGAGGAATCCTTGAATTAGGCAATCAGTTCTATGTATAACAGTCTTTTTCATTTACTTGAAGTGCTTCAGACGACTAAATTTATTTTCGTTGAAAGAAAGAGAGGGAAATAGGTACTTAATTAATTACAAACAGATGAAATTCTCAAATCCATTTTCAGGAAAACTTCTTTGTCAAAACAAATGTAATAAGGTAATTGTCGTCGTCGTTTTTGTTGTTGTTGTAATGTCTACATTACATGGAACAATGGTTGCCAGAGCCTACTCCGAAGAGAGGTTAGACTTTTATTTCCCACCCTCCAGTTTTGAGGGACAATATTCCGAGGAGGGGAACTGGGAGTCTCCCACCCCTCTCCTCACACACCAATCCCCACGAGAGGACTTTCAGCTCACCGCCGCCATGCAGCACCGACACTATACATTTACAAACTCCATGTCTTATTCGGGATTCGAACTCGGGACTGTTATAGTTTATGCTACTGGCCACTAGAGGACGTGGCCTTTTTATTTTTATGCTCGTTATACTTTTTTTACCGCATTGCGTATCTTGATAAAAATGTAGTGCCAACAAAAGAAAAATGATAAACATTCTAATGTAAACATTTTTGTTGTGTAAATAAGTGTAAAATAAAGTTCTGTGTAAAAAACAAAACGGCAAAGAATTCTAAGCGTCTTGTAAAATTATCAAGAAAGGTAAGCAAAAGATAATTCATCAAATCTTAAATGTTAAAAATAAGAACAAGAAAAAAGTGCAATAATTTCTAAATAGTGCTGAAGTCTCGAGATAACAGTGATGTTTAGATGTATTATGATTTGAGTATTTATTATTGTTCGTTTAGTAATTGAATACTGATTATTAAAATGGATAAGTTAAAAGGACTAAAAAAAGCGAGG